CCTGATTGGACCTGATTGGACCTGATTGGACCGTTATATGTAGGATTTCTGTTGGCTAATGCGTCTCTCAGGTTTTGACAATGGGCCAACGGTTGGTGTGAGCTGGACACTGAGGAATGAGGAGGGCAGAGCGCCGGAGCTGAGCCTCTTTCATTCAGAGTCATCAACAGAAAGACGATAAAGCCGATATTTAAAATGAGGTCGATAATTTTAATTTATCATGCAATTAATTGATTTATGGTTTGTCGCGACAGGCTTACCCGGGCGGCCATCTTGTTTTACAGCTTCTGTTGGCACTGAATCCAGGCTGAGGTTCAGTCTGGCCTCATCAGAACCACTGCGTTGTCCAGCAACAACGAACCTTAACCAAGACTCTGTTTCAGTTTTGGGTCTTAAAGAGACAGCGCCTCATTTAGCATTTCAGCCAGCTGACCAAGAGAGAGCAGCAACGGGTGGGGAAGGGGCTGGAGGAGGCTTTTCATCCAGAACTAGCTGACTTGGGTCAGAGCAGGGAATCGATCTCTCGACCCGGCCTCTGCAGAGCTGCTTTGTTCTGTAGCGCCACCTTCAGGTCAGAGCTCTGAACAAGCTGAGGATAAAAAGAGCCAGAACCGAACCAGGACCGCCCTCATAGAACCGGGACTTGGAAGGTTAAATTTTCAAGCGCTTTTACAACTTCTGTTTCTGAATTCAGATCAACCGGCTACGATCCTTCAGTGTGATTATAAGAATAACTGAATTATTACTGGCTGGTTCTGGTTCTGGTTCTGCTGCAGCGGACCTGAATCCGTCTCCTTTCTGTCGCAGGATCAGAACTTCTCGGCTCCTCCTCACGTTTCGGGTCCGGCCAACTCCATGACCTCCGGCCCCGGGAACAACGCCATGGCGGCAGCGGGGCAGGCGCCCAACGCCATGGCGGGTAACCATGGCAACGCGGCCTTCCTGAGAGACCCGATGGCGGCGCTGAAGCAGCAGCAGATGCTGGAGCAGCAGAAGAAGCAGCAGCAGCAGTTCATGCAGAGGCAGCTGCTGGCCGAACAGGTACGACTCACCTGCAGCTCTCAGGCAGGACAGGAGGGGGCGCCGCTGGCCGTCTGCTCCCTGGAGGGTCAAAGGTCATCTGGTGGAAGTGCATTCACCAGATTACCAGAAAATTATTTTTAAAAAATGTGAAATGAATGAAAAATTACATTCATAAAATTAAATTTAAAAATTAAAGAATTTTTTCTAATTGAATTTGAAGAATTAAACCATAAAAATGTATAAAATGATGCAGGAGAAGCAGCGCCAGGACCAGCAGCTGCAGCGACACCTGACCCGACCGCCGCCGCAGTACCAGGACCAGCCGGGTCCGGCTGCCGGCCAGAACCCGTTCCCCCAGCAGAACGTCGGACCGTTCACAGGTAGAACCGCTCAGCCAAACCGGGCCGGTACCAACAGAACTCACAGTTAAACAAGGAACTGGAGGACCAGAACCTGAGCCGGTCCAGAACCAGAACCTGTTCTCAGCAGGCCTGGTGATTCTGCTGCTTTTATCTTTTATTTTTAAACAGCAAATTAATTTAAATGAACTGGTGATGTCAGCAGTTCATCAGCTCCTCCTCCGGCGGCTTGAGGCGCCGCTGTGTTTGTTTGTTTGTTGCGGTTCTGGATCGAAGCTCATTTGACTGGGAAATAAAGGATCTGTTGGTTCTGAGGCTCCACAGACATTTAGCATCGCAGCTCAAAGTTTATTTTGAAACGGCTGCAACTTGTTTCTGGTCGGTTCGTTCCGAGGCTGCAGGTTGCCGAGCGCCGACTCGCATCAACCTGGAGACGATTCGTTGAAAACCCAGCCCACTAACGGTCCGGGTCTCTGCTGGTCCGGTAGTTTCAGAACCTGTCCGGTCCCGACTGGTTGCTCACTGAGCCTCCCAGAACCGGACTGGATCTGGTCTCAGAACCAGAAGTTTGGATCAGAATTTACTTCCTGATCCTTTTTACAGAAACTGTAAAATATTTAGTTAAGAACTGATTTTTTTTGCTTTTTTTCTCAGGTTCCTCTCAGCCAATCAGCAACATGGGCTCCATGGGAAGCCCCGCCCCCAGCGCCCGCATGTTCCCCCAGAACCAGGGCATGATGGGAATGAGCATGGCGCAGGGGGCGGGGCCCAGCGGCAGCGTGGCCACGCCCCCTGCGGCCAGTCAGGCCGACATCAGCCTGCCGTCTTGTGGAGGGGGCGGGGCCAGCGTGGACTCGCTGTACGGCGGCATGACCCTTCACCCCGGCCAGCAGTGCCAGCCGCTGGGCCCCATGGGCGCCCCCTACAGGCAGCTGCCGCAGCAGCAGCAGCTGCTCAAGCCGCCCGGCGCCGCCATGCTGAAGCAGCAGCAGCTGACCGCCACGCGCATGCAGGCGGGCGGGATGGGCGGAGCCATGGCGGGCACCGCCTGGCAGCAGCAGCCGGCCGGCGCCGCCACGCTGCACGCAAACGCCTTCGCCGCCAACGCCTTCCACATGCAGCACCCACGCATCCCCAAGATGGCCGCTGGCTCCACCTCCTTCGGTGGGCGCGCCGTGCCGGGCCTCAACCAGCAGATGATGCAGACTAACATGGCCGCCCAGCAGAGGGTGCCGCCGGCCACTCAGACTCAGCAGCAGCCAGCCAATCAGAGCGCTCCGGTGCTGCCGGACCTGGCGGCGTACGGACCGCCGCAGGCCGGCGGGCGCCAGGCGCTGCCGTGTAACCAAGGTTACCAGGTGAGCCGCGGCGGCGGGCAGCAGCAGCAGCAGCTGTCGTTCGGCTACAACGCGGCGGCGGGAAGCTTCGCCGCCGAGAGCGAGCTGGTCGACTCGCTGCTGAAGGGCCAGAGCACGCAGGAGTGGATGGCCGACCTGGACGAGCTGCTGGCCGGACACACATAGGCCTGGTCCTGACCCGGTTCTGGTTCTGTTTCTGGTTCTGACAGGAAGTGCGCGGCTGTTTGCTTACAGGCTGACAGTCGGTTGGTCCTGACCTCTGAACTGAAACCAGCAGTGGAGCGATTCTCCTGGTAGGACCGGACCAGACCAGAACCGTCTCATCATCATGCGACTCCAGCTCTTGACTGGACAAACAGGAAAACAGCATTAAAGGTTTAGATTACATCACTTCCTGTTCTCAAAGCCACGCCCCTTCTGGCTTACGTTTCAGTTTGGAAAAACCATCATGGAGGTCAGAGGTGTTCTGATGTCACAGCAGACGAACCAATCAGAGACCAGAACCAGCCAGACTGTGGTTCTGCTCTCTGATTGGTTCGTTCTGGTAACCAGTCAGAGAGCAGGTCTAATGTTTTGTTGGTTCTGACTGGAGAGCAGAACTCGTTCATTTTCCTTCCCATTGATCAGTTATTGGGTCTGAATCAGTTTCATGACATATTTATTGATCCCTGCTGATGACATCATCGACTCGTCAGAACCATCCAGAACCCGACCCGGGTCTTTCACCAGGCGCCCCAGAAGTTTGATCCACTTCCTGTCCAATCCCAGCTCTGGTTCCCAGGTGTGTTGATGACATCATCACTGCGCTACGGCCAGAGATCAGGAACTGTTCCCAGGATGACTTCCTGTTCCTGGATGTTGGCGCTTCCTGGTTCTGCCAGGCGTGTAAATCTGACGGAGTACTACTGAACCACTGGACTGCCCCCCACCCCCGGCCCGCTGTGGCGGCCATCTTGTTCCTCCTCTCTGCCTCCAAGCTGAAGCTTCATTTTCATACTGTAGGGAAATTTATGGAAACAACAACAGTTGGTTCTGTTTATGCAAAGCTGCTCCTTCCTGGATGTTTCCGTGGCGATCACTCTGCATTAATGAAGCTCTGCAGGAAATGCAGCCTGAACCCCGAGTCCGGTCTGCCAGGCCGCAGATTATGATCTGACCTTCAGCGTCTAATCCAGCAGAAAAACCCAGTAAATGTGTTAATCTGCTGCAGGTTCAGGTCAGGAAGTGAAGCGGTTCTGATCCAGATCAGGATGGCCAGCATCACCTCGGGATGTTTCCAGTTCTGGTCGGTTCTGACCTCTGACACCGACAGCGTGGGATTATCTACTGTACTGTTTCCATGTGTGCGGTTGGGTTTGGCTCGGTTCTGCCGCCTCTGGGCCCAAACGGCTCTCTGTAAATGTCTATAAATATATTTTTGTTATGTAAACCTTTCCTAATGATCTGGAGAAGATAGAAGTTATTTTTATATATTGCAGCTGAATTTTGTAAGTATTTTATACTTTTGATATGGTTCTCTGTAAAACAAGAGTATTATGTAAATATAGTTCTCTAGAAACAAATCTGCGGTTCGGTTTGGTTTTTATCTGGAAACAGATCATCATGATTCGGCTTTATCAAGCTCTGAAATAAACTGAAAGTAGATAAGAACCAAATCTCAATGGACTTCACTCATTTAAAAAGTAGAACTAGAAAATAAAGTTTCATCCTTTGTCTCAAGGCCAGTCGAACAAATTTTAAATATTTCTATGTTCACTAACTTTTTAACAATATCAGTTTCACATAATTTCAGTAACCAAAATGCATTTGTAAAAACTTTTCAGTAACATATGAGGTGCCACAAGAAAAACTTCTACCATTATTAAAATAGTGATTAATGTTGATGCTTTTAATTTGAAATATAGCCGATAGTTCTTTGTTAAATGGATCCCTGATTAGTTGAAACAGCACTTTGAACACTTTTTTAAAAATGTAAATCAGTGATTCTTGAGAATAGGGACAAAATGGGTCATGGATAAAGCACAAAATTTGAATAAAATATACACACAATATAATTTTTCAAAATATCTGACTAAACTAACCTGGGTCATGTGAGCACAACAATGTATGTTTTCCTGGTGTTTGCTGAATATTTTTTCATTTTAAACATTGTAGTCGGTGGATGATGCCTGTAAAAGCCCTTGTCCAGGAGAAGAACTAAATACATTCTTATAGTTTAAAACAATTAAAGAAATACTAAAATTATATATTATGACAATTAAGTATAAGTAGTCATATAAATAATTATAAAAGTATCGATAAATTGAATTAAAAATAATTTTTAGATATTTTCCAACTCCGTTGAAATTTGTCCTTAGTTTTTGTCAACACCGTCAGAAATGAAAATAATGTAACAAAATCAGGCATTATTGGGGGGCACCAGAACTTCTGAGGACCCCATGACCACTTCCTTTCTCTTCTTTTACTAGGAGGACTAGTTAGCTCCGGTTAGCTTAAGTTATTCTTTAGTTTTTTCTTCTGTTTTATTCCTAAGTTGCTCGTCACAACCATGATGTGTCAACTCCATAACTGACAATTTATAACACTTTGATGAAATTTTTGAAATAAAAGCTTAATTTTAGTAAACTAAAAATTTAATGGAGCTGATGATACGGCCTTCTTCAGAATAACATATAAATTGAGGTAGTTTGGCTTTTTGTCAACTCAGTTTTTGTGACTCTTTAAGTGAAATTGTTGAGTGCGCAGTTGATTCATTTTAATGTATTTTACATAAATTGCAAAACTTCACATGTATCAAGTTTTTCTTTTAACTCACTAGTTTGTCACCACCTTCAGTTCTGTGTCAACTCCGTCAGATGGACTTTGTTTTTTTTTCATATTTATTTAGTTTCTTGAGAAGCATTTGTCTTTAAAACTGAGTAAAAATATCACTAACAGGGTCATT